CATCGAGACGTTCACTCTTAGCAGCTTGCCTCTTCTTCTTGAAGAAGAACAAGAGAAGCACAAGTGCAACTCCAAATAACAGCAAAATTCCAATAGTCAACCCTGCCTTTCCACCAACACTCATCCCCTCACTTGATGTATCTGCTGCAGCAGTAGATGATGCCTTATTTGATGCAGTTGCAGTGGGAGCAGTTAAGGTTGCCGTGTTTGTTGATCTATAACTTGTAGCTGCAAGAATAGGACCTGAACCTCCAACGGATGCTGTAGCAATGATGGAACTGGGAAGTTCAGTAGAATGGGAAGTGGGCCTATAACTGTTACTGGAAGTGGTTTTAGCAGTGGTAGATTTCGGACGAGAAGGGGTTGTCGTGTGAGCCGGGGGGGATGATGTTGCTCCATCTTCATCTTCATCATCATCATCTGGCCCTAAGGTTAAATAACCTGCAATTGGTCCATCAAAGGTTGGATCCGCAGTGACATAAACAACTGATACAATTGCTTGTTTGATGTGATCTGGCTCTCTGATCTCAATTGGGGCCGGAATATCTTGTTGAGATAATCCCGCACGTCTCTCATGACGATTGTGTTGGTGAGGACGACCCTTCATCTTGAAAGATGGGGATTTTGTAAATTAAATCAAAACGGTAAATAGACTTTAATTATTATTCGAAACGACGATATCTTTCGAATGTATTATTTTGTATTTCGGGGTGACGGCGAAGGAAATATTGTAGCGATCGACTCCAATTCTGTTGGCAGAATTCAAAAACCTTTCGGATGAAGGGAGGGTAGCGGTGATCGGTCGCACGATTGTAGGCTGGAGAGAAAGAATGTATAATTCACTTGTTGAATTTCCGTGTCGCTGAGACTGTTGACGCGTTGCTCGATTGGGTCGGGGTTCGGGTCTGGTTAATTAATCGCTTCCAAGGATTGATGGAATGCGCGATGTGTCTTTGATTGTCGTCGATAAGAGAAGGACGACGACGAGATGGAATTAATTGTCTCTGGAATTCCGAGATGTGGAGGATGAGGGAGGTGAGAGGTGAGAGGGAGAGGAAGGAGAGGGAGGTGAGGGTGATGATGGGGAAAGGAACGACGGCGGTGGATAGTATTGAAGAAGAGGGAATGGGGGGAAAGCGAGGGAGAGGAAGAAAAGAAAGCGAGGAGAAGATTAAAAAAAGATGGCAATGATACCCAATCAAGTAAGTCGATGCAAAAAAGAAAAGACTTTGTATTCTCTATGCAGGGATTGCGGAGAGACGAACGATTGGAGCTAATGCCAATAACCGCAAGGTTCATCGAGTGAGCACTTTGCATCCAATCCCAAGGCATCCAATCACGTTTGCTTCTTGGGTTTGGCGCTGCCCCGCTTCAAGCAGGTACAATGCAGATGGCTTGGCCTAGGCCCAATATGGGCAAGCCTCAGGCACCGCAGCATGGACCCTGGCGATAGACAAGACTCATCTCATCTATATCTAAGCCACTGGCATATATGTCGCAGAAACCACAGTCACGTGATGCCCCTACAAACAAATGCTTCATCACTTGGCCTTGGCACGCACACAATCAAAATTGCACCTGTGACGATCCTTATACGATCCCACCAGCTCGGTCCGGCGTTTTCTCTTCCCGTATCGTCGATATGGCACGTGTTCCCGGCGGAGAAGATGCTCTCGATCACTCGCCCCTTTGAGGATACAGAACCCGAGCTGCTTCGTGTCGAGGACAAATCAATGCCCAAGCCCAAGCAGCGCTTCAAACGCTCCAGTGCATCCGTACACCCCATCATTGGCTCTCCTCACCCTTCTGCCAACAAGGCAGCTTTAACTCTATTCCTCCTGTCCCTCCATCATTCCCACCCAAGTCCTGATGCAAAAGAACTGAAACACGCTCCACACGACAAAACCCAAAAATAACCAAGTAAATCAAACTTCACAAACTATCTATAGCTCTATCCACGTCCACATCCAAGTGACTGTATAAGCAATCATAATCACAATCATAGTCGTATCAAATTATTGGATTTTAGTGTGATACTACCTCGATATATTAGTTACAAGTACATCGTGAAGTTAGATTGCTTCGAGTCAGGGCTCGCTTACATACATGCACGGAGTACGAGTAGTTACTATGCATAGCTCCAGCTCCAGCTCTAGCTTTAGCTCTAGTCATAGATCCACAATTGTTGTAGAGGAAGTAAACAAGTCCAGATGAGAGAGACGTCTATTTGGATGAGCTACATATTAACTCGCTCATTTAGTGTCTTGTCTTGTCTTGCTTGCCCTTCTCTAACCTTCTCTTCTCTTCTCAAACAGAGTTAAATTGAATCGAGTTTATGATTATTAATTTGGTTTTTTGGATTTCTTTTTCTTTTTCTTTTGATGTTTGATGTTTGATATTTGTTTAAAAACTACTGTCATATTATATTTTATGGTTTTTTGTTGGCTGGGTGAATCATGGATGGGTAGATGGATGAATAAATAAGAATAAATATTCTCTATTATACCCTTGAACTACAGTAGGTAGTTGGTTTGTAGAAGATGATTTATTTCATGATTAGTTTTGGATGGATGGATGGATGGATGTTGAAATGATTACAAGGTGGTGGGAATTCATTTGACTTGTATGTTAACTAACTGTCTGCATGTTGCTCCTATATATGTGTAATCAATCCCTCAATTGATGTTAAAGATTAAAGGCCAAATTATAAACCCACCGAACATTGATTCCCTATATCTTTCATCCATCTTGTATATCGAGATTGACCCATCACCCAGCACCCAAACAAACCCCATCCTCACCCCTTCACAGATTCACCCCCCCAAACCTCCGGTACAAACAACAAACGATCAAAGAGCACCCGGGCAAACAAGAAATCATCAAGCCCAGCCAGCACCTCCTCACCCCCACCCACAGCGCGCAGGATCCCCCAAAGAATCCCGACGAAGAAACCCCATAACGTTGATCTCGAGATCCCTGGCATCGTAGGGCCGAGCTTCGAATGCACCGGAGACGAAATGGATTTTGAAGATGCGTGGGCGCGCGCGGGACATCGTCGTCGTCGTGCTCAAATGCAAATGCAAATCCGAAGCGCGCATCGGTAGAGCAGAGATCACGGTTTGAGACCACGCGGCGGCATCGATGTTCCTCTGCGCCTTTCCGGGACGCCGTCGTGCCCAGGCAAAATAGTAGCCGTGGAGTTGGTGGGATGTGTGTTCGGCTATGCCTGATAATTTCATGGTGGGCATGCTGAAGGAGTCCCCATTGCCGATTTGGATCTCTGATCGTGCGACGAAACAGATGGGATATGGTGGGCTTGGACCCGACTCGGTATCTTGACTTGTGTGAACAGCTCCTCACTTCTTTGTATTGAATGTTTCCATTCGTGATGCTAGATTTGATCATATCCTCCGCTCCACTTTTTCCATAGAATGCCATGGCGGCTTCTCTCTTGGCAGTAGAAGGCAGAAAAGGTTAGGCAAATATATCCGCAGCAGAAGTAGCCGGAGAAATCACCCTCCCAATGCTATTGTTAGCATAAGCAGTCATGGCCATCGCACCAAGTTCCAACGGTAGGGTACTCAAGCTAGCACCTCTCAACGAAGAAGGATTGGTCGAAGCCGGCAGAACACGAAATACAGGATTGGAACATGCAACCTTCTTCTTCTCGCCAGGACAAAGCACGAGGTGAAAAGACCCATCGCTTGCCTCTACTGGTATGCAAACGACCAGAGTCTCGCGCAAGATATGTTTTGCGTGTATGGTGTTCTTCAGGAATTTTCTAATGTTGCGTTGCCGGACTCGCTCGTCGCTTTCAAATTCGTCCAGCTGATCGGCCGAGAGAGATATTGCTGGGGTGACGTTGAGCCAGCCCCCATTATCCCCTACCAATGCTTTCAAGCGCATCCCGGTATTTGCGGAATACCCTCTCTCTTGTAACCATATCTGACGACCTGCCGGTAGAGGTGCGTCGGAAAATATCGAGATCGCCAGTGTGGTAGAGCATCCTTGATAAAATACCAACCCATGTGAATGCTGGAGAATGGAAAAATGTTTTGTGCTTTCTGATGGACGTGCATCTTGAAATATGATGATGGTTCTGATAAAGCCTCGCTCGTGACTTTGGGGAAGTTATCAGAGGCTTGTAAATTTAGGGGGGGCACCGGTTGCAGGGGTCGAAATCGTTCTCTCAATGATGTTCAAACTTGGAGACGTGAATTGAAGTGTTTCAAAGTCTGCGATTTTAGTAGGGATTGGTTGCGATTGTGATTGTGATGCTATGATTGGAGCAGCATCCATATTATTAGATCCCCGCGATCTTCCATTTCCTGGTATATGTTGAACATCCTTCTCAATATTGCTCCCCGAAGACGTTGCCGTATTCAACGTCCGTGTTATCAGCTTACGACGAATTTGAAGGGGTTTTGCGTCATCGGAGCCCTCACTATATGCTGATGGGGGTTTCTTAGAGATGAGTCTGCCCAACCACTTCCAACAGTAAGAGTTACAAATGAAAATCGGATATGCTTCAGAGCCGCCAGGATCAATCAATGTGTTAGTCATCATGCCATCATGACAAGGAAGCCCTATATGAGCGAAATATTTTGATACTTTCGAGGTTGGCTCAACCTTAATAATAATGCATGCTGTCCACTTCAACTACTCACTCTACCCATACCTCGATGCCCCTTCATGAAACCCAAAATAAGCGAATGAATGATAGTACCAAAAAAACACATTTTACAGTTTCGTAATTTCATAATAAATAAAGAATTAACAAAGAATTACAATTGTGATTATTATCATAACAACCCATACTAAGCCTCGCTCAATCCACCAATCACAAGTAAAGTTGAAAGCGAATTTCAAAATTGAAGCGAGCGTTCGAAAAAGCCCGTCTAGTCTAATAATACAGTTCCCGAGAAGTCCGATAACGCGTGGAAGAGAGTGTTGATATGTATATATCCAAATAACGACCGAACAAACCATTAACTGTTTGCGGCCATTTGGTCTAGTCGTATGATTGTCGCTTCGGGATCGTATCCCCATGTATTATTGATAGATGTGACAGGTCCCGGGTTCAAATCCCGGAATGGCCCCGTTCTTTTGCTTGTTCTGTCATGGCATGTATAGGTGGGTTATTTGTTTTATTGAGGGTTGACGCTTTTGATATGTATGTTCCATTCATTGCCAATTGCCAGTTGTGTGTGTGCTTGGATGGCTCTTCGTTTTTTTAAACTTCTTTTGCATTCCGATTGCCTGGGTGGGGGGTTATGTATGGTCTGTGCGGCTCCCGATGAGAGGGCATCAAGACTTGCCTGAAGACCACCTTAAATTGGTTTCGACGTCTTCTTTCTGTATTGGAGCGAAGAAGGGTTACGCCCTCGAGAAGTTCATTCGAATGGATTTGGTACTCGGGTGAAAACTGGGGGTTTATATCTTATCAGTCACGTATCGTTGCTATTCTTATTCTATGCTAAAGTCACTCTCATAATTCACTTAGAAGGAAGAATGAGCGAGTGAGTAGCTTGAAGAAGAAGTGAACCCTTTCTGAGTATCTATAATAGAAACTCTCCGATCCGGACATTGGTATGGCACCTGGTAGGCTGTGAACCATGGACATAGCATTCAGCTTGGATCTGAAGAGTGAAACATCATCTTGACAAGCGACCAGCGAAAAGCTCCAAGATTGACTCTCGGGTAGATTGCAATCAACTTGTATTGAAGGATGGCTAGCTGATGTACTGGTGTCATATAGACAGGTATCAATTCATAAAAACTGTTGCTCCTAAAACGCTGAATAGATGTTACTCCTTCCTGCCTCGTTCGGAAAAATCCCCCATCCACTTCCCAACACCGAGATAACGCCTAGAACAAGCTGTAATCTACTCATCACTTTCTTCGACAGGTCCGCCCATACTTGCAGGTTTCTCCGTAAGTGCCCTTGTAATCCGTGCGTAAAATCTAGCAGCTTGTGGTCGTGGGAATTCTATCTCATCTACAAGATAATCGGGTAGTAAGTCCAATAATGGTCGATCTCTACTGGGATCTAGGAGTGGCGTATATCGACAATCTGCATCGCCACTTGCCCCAGCTTCAATACCCAGCTTGAAATGAAGGGCTATTGTAATCGTCAGTATGAATTCATCACGGCGACAAGTATGAAGTGACTTACTACCATTACGGCCAGTCTGAATACAGTCGAAAATATCTTCTTCGGCTTCTCGCTTGACCCCCCTTATAATTAATCCAGTCAAATCACTGTACAGGTCCTCTTTCAATTGTGCTGCCTGTGCAGCTTGAGCTGCTTCTTGACTTCCAATCATACGCATCCCACCATTGGCTTTCATAGCGCTACCTGGAACTTTAACATTTGCGCTCTCATATGAGGCTGTTATCTTGCGACTTGCTGCAAGCTTGGTCGATAAAGTTTTGTTTTCTACCTGAGCCTCCGATAGAGCCAACTCTAGTTGATTAATCTGAGCTTGTAAATTCGTCACCAATGCATCTTGTGATTCAATAGTTTTCTTCAAACTTCTGCTTTCTTTTGCTAAAGAAGTTTGAGTCGTCAAATTGGCTTTCAAAGAAGCAATGAGTTCATTGGAGGCTACCCAAGATTAGTCACTATCCGGTTGAGGGTTGTAAACCTTTCTTACCCCTTGTCTTCTCCTCTGCAGCTTTCTTATAACGCTCAAAGGTTTTCTCCGCTTCCTTCACCCCAGCTTCCCGAAGATCCTGATATTTTCCCTCCACATTCTCAAGTTTTTTTGCAAGTTCACCAAGTCTGCGCCTGATGGCTGGCTCATTTCTTTCCGTATCCGAAGCGCTACCAGCTCGGTGTCGTGATATAGACATTTGTCGCCTTCGAGGATCACTGTATGGACGAGACTCTTTCCTTTTCACCTCAGGTATACTATCTTCTTGTTCCACATCTTCTTCGATGTCTTTTTCCATTTCCACCTCCTCTTCTGATACTTGGGTTTCCTGTATGACTTTTTCCGGTGATTGTTGCTCCTCAGCGGGCTCCTCCTGTTCCTTTTCTTTCCCTTGCCTTCCTGGCCGGCCTTTTTTGCTCACGGGTACTACAATTTCTTCCACGACTTCTGGTTCTGGAATCGTTGCTTTAGCTGCTTTACCACGAGCAGCAGCTGGTTTCTTTGCAGCTTTGGCTTTAACTTCCTTTACCGCAATAACCTCACCATCTAATTCATCGCCCAAATTTACGTCGTCCATGGTAATGTCTTCCGTCTCATCGATTTGCCCCATCTCTTCCTCGACATCCTTCAGCCGATTAGTTTTGCCTGGCAAAATAATACTCCTTTTTCCCTTTTTGGCCTGGGACGATGGTTCTGGAGTCGTCTTCCCATACAACCTTCTTCCACTTGTGCGACTGGCCGGTCCTTTTGTTTTGGTAACTTTCGATGGAGCAGCCTTGGGTCTTCCCCGCACGTTCTTCGCAGCAGTAATAGCTTCTGATTGTTGTTTTGCCATCTTGCGCTCTACCAAATGATCATCTTCCGAGTCCGATTCTATTAAACCTGCAAGGGTTGAATTTTTAGGCTTCGACATCGATTGCCCACAGTGATGTAAACACTGCGCTTCGATTTGCGACGCGAAGTAAGCGAAGGATTATCGCGTTTCTGGGGTGATTTCAAGTTCATATATCTGTAGATATTGTATCGTCTGAATCGGAGGTCGTTGAGTTGGACTGATTCACTTTACGACGGGGTTTGAATTGAGTAATTGGAGTTGTCAGTGTCGGCTATGTCCAAAATCGAGGGGGGGAACTTCTTCCCAATGTGTCAATGTAAACAAATCATTACAAGTGTGGCTCATGTGGCTTATGTGGCTTATGTGGCTCATGTCGGGATTAATTGTTGAGCCACATTAAATATATTGAACAAACGCCACACCACAAGCTATCTAATTATACTCTTATTACAATTTCAAATATATTTAACTGAGATTTCAAATTGAAATTATATTGGCTTTATTTGAATTAATCTTTAAATAATTAGGGTTAAAACTTATTTGAATTAGGATTCAATTATTGTATAAAATGTTTTCTAACTAATTATATAATGATTGGTTTTAAGGTTTATTTGGATTAGAATTAACTGTTATTTGAAATCTTTGAAATCTATAATTTAGCGCCGAAATGCAGTACGTCTTTGCTTCATTTGTAGGGCTAGAACTACCATCATTTCAAATTTCGCTGTACAATTCTCTCTTGAACAACACAGTATCTATCCTCCATAACTCTTTTGGAAGGATTCATAAACCGCGAATCTGGTGGCTCGACATTTCTTCTGGCCTTGCGCACAATGATGGGGGATGGTAACAGTAGAAAGTATGGCCTCTTACAGGATCTGTTATTAATCGTGGTATCTGTAAGTATTCTAGGAAGCAGCTTATTAGTATATGCTTTACAGCTGCTAACATCTCTATACGTGTAGACCGCCTCTTTCTACTATGTTGCAAAGAGTTTAATACCAGCTCTGCCATTCCAGAGCGATTCCGAGAAAGAACAGCATGAAGAAGCAAGATTGAGAGCCGCGGCAAATCTTCGAAGGCTGGATAGACGGGGTAGTGGTGATGAATCAGACTCGGACGAAACAGTTCCAGGGAGGGAAAAGTCGCGCCGTTCTCGTAAAGAAGATTTAATCCTCGACCAATATGAGAGTCAAATTGCGATGGAAGTTGTAGCCCCAGAAGATATACCTGTTGGCTTTGACGGTGAGAACCTTCCGCGGACAGTATCATTGCAGTGCTCATTATGAATAGATATTGGCGGTTTGGACGACATCATTGAAGAATTAAAGGAATCCGTCATCTACCCTCTTACCATGCCTCACTTGTACTCGCATTCGTCCCCTCTCTTATCTGCACCTTCCGGCGTATTATTATATGGTCCTCCAGGATGTGGTAAAACTATGTTGGCAAAGGCTTTGGCACATGAAAGTGGAGCTTGCTTCATTAATCTTCATATTTCGACTTTGACGGAAAAGTGGTATGGTGATTCGAACAAGCTTGTTCGGGCAGTTTTCTCTTTGGCACGGAAGTTGCAACCAAGTATTGTATTTATCGATGAGATAGATGCGGTTTTGGGACAAAGGCGAAGTGGTGAACATGAAGCCAGTGGGATGGTGAAAGCAGAGTAAGTGACTATACCACAACTACCATTTTAGCTCACGATTTTAGATTCATGACGCTTTGGGATGGCCTCACTTCATCGAACAAAAGTGGATTGCCAGCTCGAATTATGATTCTCGGTGCTACCAATCGAATGCAAGATATTGACGAAGCTATCTTACGACGGATGCCAAAGAAATTCCCTGTTTCCCTGCCATCGAACCCGCAAAGAAGACGGATCTTAAATTTAATCTTAAAAGATACCAAAACCGATCCGAACCACTTCGATATTGAATATCTTACAAGAGTCATGGCTGGCATGTCAGGGAGTGATATTAAAGAGGCATGCAGGGATGCAGCAATGGTTCCAGTCCGCGAATTTATCAGAGAGCAGAGAGAAAAAGGTTTGGCTATGACTGGGGTTGACCCATCACATGTTCGAGGGGTACGAACAGAGGATTTCTTCGGGAGAAAAGGGGGTGGACAGATCATTAAGGATAACCATGCACGACACAAAGCCGCAGAAAGTACATCTACGATCAGAGGGGCAAATTCTAGTGATGGATATGGAGATGGAGATGTTGAAGAAAGTATCGCTGAATCAATGGATTAAGGCATTCTTCATTTACAATTGGTTATCTGGCATTGTAACATAGGTAGCTATGCAAGGCGTCTAAGGATGGGGGATTTGTATTGGTGTAGAAGCAGAGAAAGGATGAATTATCTCCTTGTATGATGATATAAATAACTGAAATGATCAATGATTGATTACTGAACACATTTCTTCTATGGTGAAATAGCTAACAGCTAATAGCTGCTTACCTACATAGGATTCATCGTCGCTTCTTTCCTCCTCGTCCTTCTCCCCGTTCTCCTCCTCCTCCTCCTACCTGATGTATATCTTCAAAATCATCCATCCCTCCACCCGAGTGATCCCCTTCTTGAGGTGAATTCACGGATCAACTGC